AAAGCATGGGTGTTCTTGAAGCCATTGACTTGGGAGCTGTGGTTAACAAGCTTCTGTTGTTTTGTTTTCATTGGCTTCGTCATTTGGGTACTTGAACATAGAGTAAATGAAGACTTCAGAGGACCTCCTTGGCACCAAGTTGGCCTAATCTTTTGGTTCCCCTTCTCAACTATGGTCTTTGCACAGAGTAATTTCTTTTTTCCTTCTTAATTTCATTTTATATAATACTCTCTGCTCTGAAAAGAATGACACCTTTGTATATTTGAAAAATCTTCATATTTTCACTTCTCGTTTACCTTTAATGGCATTCTCTTATAGCCATAGAAATATCATGATGTGTTTAACACCACAAGTTCTAAGGGCGATTTGGTATGTGCCAGAAGTCTTGTTCTTTCTTAAATTTTATGCACAATCAAATTGGGATATATATATATATATATACACACACACACACGCACTTCAATCTGAATTAGCCCTTGCTCTTATATATAGCATATAATATACTTCAAACTTCTAATCTGAATTTTCTTCTTTTTGGTTCTCGATACTGACAGAGGAGAAGATAGTAAGCAACTTGGCTAGGTTTGTATTGATCATCTGGTTCCTAGTAGTACTCATATTGACTTCAAGCTACATGGCAAGTCTTACATCGACGTTAACAGTTGAAAAACTCCAGCCAGAACTTCTGAAGAGCAATGAATATGCGGGGTACCAACAGGGTTCTTTTGTAGCAGGACTTCTAAGAAAGATGAACTTTGATGAGGACAGACTTAAGCCTTATAGCACTCCAGAGGAATGTATTGAATTACTCTCTAAAGGTAGTGCGAATGGTGGTATTGCTGCTGTTTTTGATGAGATTCCTTATGTGAAGCTTATCCTTGCACAGTATTGCTCAAAATATACCATCGTTGGACCTACGTATAAAAGCGATGGCTTTGGCTTTGTAAGTAACTCCTTTTTCTTTTTGACAGTTTTTTTCTTTTGATTTTCATCTAGTCTTCCTAATATTATGAATTCATCGTTCTTGTTATTTTCATCCAGGCCTTCCCAATGGGATCTCCTCTAGTACCTGATGTTTCAAGAGCAGTCTTAAATGTGACAGAAGGTGAAAAGATGGTACAAATAGAGAAAGCATGGTTCGGGAAATTTACTTGTTCAAATTCTAGCGCTTCACCCTCTTCCAATAGTCTTGGCCTTGATAGCTTTTGGGGACTCTTTGTCATAGCTGTAGTTGCTGCAACTTTGGCTCTCCTCATCTTTCTCACAACGTTCATGCATGAAAATTGGCAGATTATAAGACAATCTAATCTTCCATTCCACGAAAGAATCAGAATCTTGGCTAGAAATTTTGACGTAGCCATACGTTCACGAATAGTGAACTGAGAGATGCAGTGGGAGTTTTAGGACATATGGATTGTCCACAAAGTCCACATGATAACTTGTCAATGCTTCCTTCTATACAAACGAATGGACTGCCAAGTCCAAGTATTTCTAGTCATACGGAGCAGATTTTTCACCTTCCAGGAGAGGAAGGAGGGACTCCACCTTTGCATGCAGAGAATGTAGCAGTTAGTACTCAGGAGAGTGTTCTTGGGTTGGCTATTGATCTAAATGCAGGCCATTGATTTGTATATTGGTGTAGAAAGGGATTAAGATTGTTTTAGATTAAGCCTTTAACTTCACTCTTACGTAGTATTAAGCTCATTTTTACTTCTTCCATTGTGCAAAAGACCAAATCAGATAATGTTAAAGCAATATGATAAAATAGAATGTTGAATGATTTTGATCAGGTGTTAGGTTGAATCCTGGAACTGCAATGGGATTGTTTCCCATTAACTTTAATGCCAGCATGCTCTTGATTCTTTCTCTGCTTCAAGGGTATAGATTGAAATGTATGAATATTTCTTTATGGGATCTTTCCATGTCAAGGATTGGCTGATAAACCTGTTTGTAACCAACAAACAGCAAATAGCCAGAAAATTAGAAGCCATAGGAGAAAATTACCGATTATGATTATGGGATGTGGTGGAAAATATTGGGATAAAAAATAACAAGGCGCATACGGAAGCTGGTAAAGCAAACATTGGCGATGATAAATCAGACAATAAAGAAAATTATACTAAAAATGCATAATAAACTTTAGTATGGTTTAGTCAATTGACCTACATCAATATACTATTATAAAAAGAGAAAAATACTTATAAGAGAATAGATTTTCCCCTTAAACAAGACTCTCTTAAAGACTACATTGTGGATTCTATTGTAGTTGTTATGTAGGAATTCTCAATTTATAGAGGTCAAGACATTTTCCTCCAAGAAAGAAATTTATCAAATATGGAAGAGATCTATATTTTTCTTTAAGAAAAAGTAAAACCAATTATGGTAAATAGTGTAACCTTCCTTCAAGTAACAGGTGAAATCCAAAATATTGTAAGAAAATCAGGGCAATCCCTATCAATTCTCTCCTTTGGCCTGAATTTTCTTGACAAAGCTTGATAGCCTTCTTCATATAATCTTCATCACTGCTTCTTTCCATGGTTAAAAGTAGACATAGGTTGAAAATTGGGGCCTCGTGCGTTAAAAGTGAGCACGAGTTAAAAATAGTGAAATCGCGTTTAAAGTGCACATATAATTAAAAGCAGAGCCCATGCGTCAAAAGTAAGCATGAGTTAAAATTGGAGCCCATGCTATTAAAAATGATTTTTGTTTTAAAGATGCCAGCACAAGTTATGTTGAAAATATGGTTGAGAATTTATCTCCACATGTAGTATTTCAGACTTTTTTTTGCAACTTGATATGAACCCGCATTGAACCCGTCTTCAACCTCGTTTTGGCTATTGGGATCGAAAATAACAAGGCGCATGCGGAAGCTAGTGAGCAAACCTTGGTGATGTTCACTGCAATAAAAACAACTTTTAGCGACGGATTTTAGAGACAAGTCATATTCCGTAGCTAAATAACGACGGATTAGCGACAAATTTTATAGTTTGTCGCCAAATAAGCTACAAAAGATTTAGTATCAAATATAGCAATGGATTAGCGACAAAAGTTTATATCCGTCGCTAAAAATTGGCGCTTTTATTTTACCTACAAATTTAGCGACAAAAGTGGGGCGACAAAAATTATTAAAATATATTTACGAAATTAGCGACGAAAATCTGTCGCTGCCTTTATTTTACTTAGCAAAAAATTCCAAAATTAGTTGCGACGGAAATTCCGTCGCTAGATTCTTAAAACTAAATTTCCCAAGTTATTATTATCGATAGATATTTATGCGTCGCGATTTCCGTTGCTAGTTTTTTAAAGTTTATCTAGGGCACAAATCTTCTTATAGACTCATATTCTCTCATCTCTATCAAAGTCGCCACTTGCTCTCATCTTCAACAATGTGAGTTTCTTCCTTCCAATACAACAAATTGAGTATGAATCTAAGGCTCATATGCAATGGGAATGTAGACATCTGATAGCAAATAAAAAAATTTCAAAATTGGGCAAAAACTTTTGCTATAGAACTTCAGAAATTGCCAAGAAATTCAAAGTAGCTGTCATCTACATTCCGTTTATGTTTGCTGCTCCGTAAGATTCTCAAACGAAAGCCCTTATTTTTACTATTTTTGCACTTTGTCTACATCGTTATTCTTATCTTTGTTCAGGTAAACTTTCTCTTTTCTATTTTATTTTTCTTTCTCTCTATTTAATTATCTTGAGAAATTTTGATATGGTAATTCTTGTTTGACTGGTACCTTAATTTTCATACTTTTGGATCAATAATAAATTAATATGATTTTTTTTTTAACAAATATACCATTAGGCAGGCTGCTATACTATATAACAAACAAAAACAAAGATCCAATGTTTACAAATTATCCTATCAAATCTCAAATATGCTAAACTAGTGCTAAAGCTAATAAAATATGAAATGCTAACTATTACAAATAGTGCCATAGCCAACTCCCCACATAAAAAGGTGTGTGTATCCACCGGCCAAGTGCAAAACCTCAGTGTAGCACCTCTAGTGCTCTCATCAGGCGCCAAGTTTTACGTTCCAAAGGATAAGGCAAATATGAATCTCCAAGCAACACCACCAATTGGGAGTGACCAAGTATCCATGTAGATTTCCAAAACCATGAACAATGTAGGTATCCTTGCATAAGATGACTGTAGTCCAGGACAAAAACAAGCTATACCGAATAAGATTAACCAAAGAAAGACAGTGATATGTTTTATCTCCTGCCAAATAGGGCACATACTTGCACTGCCATGACACCTCCATATTGGACATGTATACATGTCAATACCACTGAATAATGCCATGACATTTCAAAGCCTACCAATCTGAGATCTTACACCTTCTAGTAACAATGAATCCCAACTTTGATCCTTTATGAAACCTTGCAGAGTTGGTGTGTTGTAACCCATATACATACTGCTCCAGTAATTACCTAGTAGTACCTTCCAGCAATAGGCTATACATATCGACCATGATAATATTTCAAAAAAGCTATGTACATTGCCATTACTTCTTCAGATTGGGCATGAAATCATACAAATACCACTAGCTAATGTTCTAGCATTTCTGTTAGCTGCCATGAAAATGAGATCTAAGCTAAGAAGAAGACGAATAATCTAGAAGAAGAGAGGAAATCAGAGAAAGGCTCGATACATTTCTGAATGAAGAAGAAAGACAACTGTACAAGTGGCCACTATTTATAACAAACTAAATAATCTCCTTAACTAACTACTAACTAACTCACTAACTATGGTTTAGTATTACATTATAATTAAACTATGGTTAACTATGCTGATTAATACTCCCCCTCAAGATGATGGTTGATATAGATTCTTCAACCCCAGCTTGTTCAGCAGATGCACATGTTGAGCTCTTCCCAAACCTTTAGTAAGTATATCTGCTAGTTGATCTTCAGTGTTAACATACTCAGTCTTCAGCAGACCTTGACTCAACTTTTTTCTCACAAAGTGGCAATCTATATCGATGTGTTTTATCCTTTCATGGAAGATTGAATTGCTGCAATTTGAATTGCAGCTCTGCTGTCACACACTAGAGTAATATGAAGCTCAATTTTAACACCAAGTTCACTGAACAGTCCTACTAGCCAGGTAACTTCTGCTGCACATAAAGCCATGCTTCTAAACTCATCTTCAGTAGAGCTTCTGGACACATTGCTCTGCTTCTTAGACTTTCAGGATATCAATGCACTTCCAAACTTTACCAAGTACCCTGTGACTGACCTTCTAGTTTGTATACATACCCCCCCC